TGTGTGAGAGTAATTAGCGACCCAGAGGGAAGAGATAGGATGTCCCTTGAAGGAGAGAGCCTGCTGGAGCCTAGGCCTGGCCTGGAGACCGGGGTAAGCGGCAGCCTGAGGGTGCGGGGATGAGGAAGGGTGAGGGCCCAGCATGGGAGTGAGCACCCAGAGGCCTTGACCTTGGGATGAGCCCGCACTGGCCACCTGGTGCTGGCTGCTGGGGACTCAGAACGCCTGCAGCTGTCACGGGTGGGAGGAGGGGGTTCTGCAGGTGCTAGTCACCCCCCTTCTGCCCTCCCTGGCTGTTAATCCGATGGTTCCGGCCATGCTCTCTGAAGAACTGGCAGTCTGGGCCCAGGTGGGGGAGGGGCTCCGGGACAGTGGCCCTGGGTCAGATACCCAAAGAGCTCAGGAACTGGGGCAAAGAATGGGGTGCAGCTGCAGGTGCCCGGTGCAAGGGATTTGTCCGGCTTGGCTCTGTGTGGGTGCATGTGTGTGGGCTGAGGTGCCTGTGGGTGGTGTGTTGTGCTAGCGTGTTGAGTCCACACAGGAGGGGCAAGCGCGCTCTTCGGGCGGGGGCTGAGCCTAATTTATCTCTGTGGCCACCGTGTCCCCAGAGTCTCCAGGGAGTGGCCACGGGGCAAGCCTGGGCTTTCTGAGGTGGTGGCTCATGAAGGGAGGCAGCGGCCCTCTCTGGGTCCAAGGTCCTGAGCAGAGGTTGGAGGATGGACGTGAAGGCCCCTTGCGGGAAGCCAGTGGATGCCAGAGGGAGGAAAGGCAAGAGGCAGCAGCTGGGGAGAGGCGGGGTGGGGGCTGTGGAGCACAGCCTGCCTCTGCTCAGTTCCTGCCTGGGGCAACCTCTCAGCCTTCCACTCTCACTGCACAGAGACCCAGTCTGTTCCAGTGGGTCTGTTAGCTCCACTGGTTGAGAGGGAGACCAGGGAAGGTAAGAGGTTGGGAAGTCTACACCACCAGTGAGGGCTGGCGCCGGGTTCCCAGTCAGCCACCCTTTTCCTCTGCCAGCCTCCATTACCCACAGGCCTCCACTCTCCCCCCCACCTCTGTAGATGGGCCCCACTCTGGCTGAGCTTCTTTCCTGCCCGGCCCTAGCCACCTTGTAGGGCCCTGACTTCGTTGGCCCCGTCCCCCTCATCCCTGAGTCTCCCCAGAGTGCACTCTCTCATTCGCGCTTTCCTCTTGCTCCCCATGGCCAACACGGGCCGCCTGTCTCCCACCGTCCACCCTCTCATATCCCTCAGGCTGTGCCCAGCAGGGCCCTGGGGCCCTGTGCGCCCTCCACAGCCACCTCCACCTTGGCCCCCAGGTGCTAGCAGGATGTGCCCGTCCAGGGCCTTCCCTGGGCCTGAGGGGCCCAACATGCCACGCAGGGTGGGGAGAGGAGTTGGTTGGCTGCTGGCTCTTCTGTTCTGGGCTGAGGCGTTATCTGCTCCTGAGTGTTGATGAAGAGACCTTCAGGCCTGGAGAGGCAGTCCTAGGCAGGAGACCCCTTTCCACACCCTGAGGTGTGAGGCCTGTGCAGCAAACAGATCACTGATTTTCTTGGGAGGGACCATGACTGGGATGTGGAAGGCTCCAGGACCCTGCCTCACCTGGGGCCCCTCTTAAACGCATCGCTCCTGGGGCACTGCCACGGCCCGGGAATCAGTCTCTAAAGCAGTTTCCTGGCACAGGCGCGACCCACAGAGGCAGCAGGTGCTCTGTGCCACCAGGGGAGTCTCGCTCATTTGGAGACTTGGTGGGAAATGTCATGAATACATTTGGGAAACTGTGAGGAAAACCCATGTCCAGCTGGTGGGTTCGGGGCGTTTTTTTTTTTTTTTTTTTATTTGCAGTTTTCCAGACCTTCTCTAATGTGAGCAAGTGACTTTTCATTTCTTCTTATTTTCCCTCAAAACAGGAAGGCCGACGTTCTTGTGGGAAGGGGACTGGGCCAGCAGTCGAGAGACTGGTCCCCGCCGGGCAGCCTGTGCCAGGCCCGCTCGTGCTGACCACCAGCCTGCCTCCAGCTTGGTGTTTGCTGGGCACCCGTTCCCCACCCTGGACGCGCCTGGCATATCCTTGCTGCAGGCCGCCTCGGAGCTCATCGTGTTAATCGGCTGCCAGGGGGCTGGGATGGGGATCCCAGAGGGCCTTGTCTCCTTCTCCTTTCCTACCTCTCTGGCCCGGGGCCTGGGGAGAGGAGAGGTGGCACCAGGAGGAGGAGGTGTTATAGTCAGGGCTCTTCTCACCCAAGCTGGCAGGGGGCGGGACGGCAGTGGTGATACCAGGGCCACTCAGCCCCCGCTTTTCACAGCACTTTCTTTTTTGGGTGGAAGAAATTGGAGGGAGGGGGTGAGGAGTCTGGGGTTGACAGCAAGGTGTGAGACCCTCATCGCCCTCAGGGTAGAAAGAGATTCCCTCCCCCCCTTCCTCCGGGGATGGGTCCCCACATCCACCTGACTCTGAGAGTCATAAGCCCCCCTCTCCACCAAGCTGGGTAGGGGCTCAGGCCGCTCACTTCAGAGGCAGAGGAGTGGATCCCTTGACCTGAGGGTTAACGTGGAAAAGAGGGCAGTGGGGAGAGGGAAGAACACGACTGCATTTGGCCTTCCGTAACCA